GAGCCCGGGGAACGAACCGGCGACCTTCCGGTTACAGATACGCTTCCCAACCCCTTGAGCCACGGTCACCCGTGGACCGTTATCTACAGCTGCTTTCAGTACCATTGATATTCATTTAGTCTTTTTCTCCAATTGAGCTTTCTGAGTTAACTTCAAGTTAATAGTAGTAATTACTTCCTCCTTAAAAATATGTAGGACTGCTTTCTTCCATTTGTGCAATATCTCTACAATTGGAAATATCCGGTCTCAGAGTGGCTGAAAAACTAGTTCATGGATTTATTACTTCTAGGCCGGACTAGTGTAATTCATTATTATTAGGTTGTCCTAAAAACTCCCTGAAAAACTTTTAGTTAATTCAAAATGCTGCAGCAAGAGTACTGACAGGGACTAGAATGAGAGAGCATATTTCTCCTATATTGGCTTCCCTTCATATATCAATAATCAGGCCCCGTCTTATCTTAATGACCTTATAGTACCACATCACCCCATTAGAGCACTTCACTCTCGCACTGCGGGCTTGTTGTTCCTCGAGTATTTAAAAGTAGAATGGGAGGGAGAACCTTGAGATTTCAGGCCCCTGTTTTATGGAACCAGCTTCCAGTTTGGATTCGGGAAACAGACACACTTGTAAGATTAGACTTAAAACTTTCCTTCTTGCTATAGCATATAGTTGGGGCTGGATCAGGTGTCCCTGAATCCTCTCTTAGTTATGCTGCAATAGGTGTAGGCTGCTAGGAGATTCCCTGGGCAGATGGGCAGATGGCTGCCCCTCCCCAGGATCTGGTTCTGCCTGAGGTTTCTTCCTGTTAAAAGGATGTTTTTCCTTCCCACTGTTGTTGTGATTTGGCGCTGTATAAATAAAATGAAATAAACTGAACATGCACTTAAACATTTCTTTAAAACACATTACATAACATAGCCTTTTCCTATTTATATGCCACCCTGTCAGTGTAATAATCAGAGACATTTATTAAGTGGAAATTATTTCCCACTAAACAGTTTTTTAAATAAATGATTTCGTAATACTTTCCAGAAATCTTGTGCTGATGTATTTGTATTTTTCTCTCCATCAGACAGAGCTTGATAAATTTCATAAGGTGCGGATGGGAGTGGGAAATGGGCTGCATCAGGATGTGTGGCAGGAGTTCCAAAGTCGCTTTGGGAAAATCAAAATGTGTGAAGTATATGGCTCCACTGAAGGAAACCTCTGTTTCATGAACCACATTGGCAAGATTGGATCAGTAGGCCGCTCCAACTTCTTTTACAGGGTAAGTGCATAGAAATAAGCTATTCCATGTGTGTGTGACCAAGCCTACACTCTACTCTCAGATAGACGAGCACTACCTTGGTGTGTGCTTTCATAAGAGAAGGTAGACTAAAGTAAATGATTGTAATAAATCATGTTATAATGTCAAGTAATTTGACATGTCAGTAGAACTGCACAGATTCACTTCACCATCATAACAAAATAATTTCTTTATAAGGAATGCTCATTAAGGGAAGCTGCATTTCTAATGACATCAAGCTCTTAAATAAGTCAAAAGTCTTACTTGCTGGTCTTAAAACACTGAAACATCAAATAAAATGATTAAAAACATTTTTGTTTAATACAAGACTAAAGACAGATTCTGCTTTGGAATTTGTCCATGATTCTTGTGTAAAACATGTGAGTTTTATTATTCATATGTTATTATTGTCATAGTAACTATTGCGTGTAGTGGACTAAGTCGGACCTCAGTAAATCTAATTTTTTTGTGTTGTTAAGCCTCAAGGCAAATATAAAATTCTTCTTCTTGCTGCACACATTTGTACACATAAACCAAAGCCTGATTTTTATTTTAGTATTTACTCCAAATGTGTAGTGATTTATACATTTACCTAAGAAAAAGAGCACTCAGAGTGTGTAACTCCCATCAAAGGGAAATGGCTATACTTACATTTTGATGTGGCTGTAGCTCAGGAGGTAGAGCAGGTCACCTACTGATCGGAAGGTCGGTGGTTCGATCCCTGGCTCCTCCAGTCTGCATGTCAAGTATCCTTGGGCAAGATACTAACCCCAACTTGCTCTCCGATGCATCCATCGGAGTATGAATGTGTATGAATGTCGTTAGAAAGCACTAAGTATAGATAAAGTGCTTGTGTGATTGGGTGAATGAGGCATGTTGTATAGAGCGCTTTGAGTACTCCAGGAGAGTAGAAAAGCGCTATATAAGAATCAGTCCATTTACCATTTACCATGTTTTATATTACAAAATGCTGATGTCAGCCTGTTATGGCATTAGTTTGACATCGTAGGACACTGTATTGAAAAAATTAAAAGTGTGTTGTACAGCTCCTTTCACATAATATAAAAACTTTGCTTCAATCCTAAAAAAAAAGACAAATCCTTTTGGGGTTGCATTAGAAAAGGTGTCCAGTGTATAAAATCTGCAAAACCAAACATTCGGTGCTACTATTTTTTTTTTTGTTCAATATCGGGGTGATGGCAGCAACTTTGAAGGAAGCAGGAACAGTTCCAGTAGTAAGTGAAGAATAAATGATAGCAGATATGAGGGGAAGCAAAGAGGGTAAACAGGCCTTGACCAGGTTTTGACTTACAGATGAGATCTGAAATATCAGTGACAGAGGGAAGTTGGAAAGCAGAAAAACAGTGCGATGGGAGTGGAATTGCAAAGGAAGAGCTACATGGAACAAACCAGGTCTTGGATGAGCAGGTAAAAAATCTGGTGACCTGAAAGAAGAGTTGAACAGTGAAAACGGTGTCTTGGTTGAATCATCATTTGCACAGACCATGGTGGAGTAATAAGCAGATTTTGTTTGATTAATACACTCTTTATAATACAAAACATGAGTATTAAACATTTCCTTATGAATAGTAAGACCAGTTTTCTTATTATAGAGGCGTTCAAGCCGTCGGCCTTTTGCTTTCAGAAGCCTGAGTTCAGCTGTAAACTCTCTCAGCAGGATGCTGACTGAGGGAATGATACAGATTTGGTTTTGAGTGTGGCCACAGAGTTTAGAATATTATTGAGACTAGAGTTATAATAGGAAACCAAGTCTTCTTGGGTGAGCAGGTTATGAAAATGCAAATAAGTTGAGAAAGCAAAAGAAAGGGTATCAGGATGGATTTTCTTAAAATTCCGAAAAGAAATGGTTTGAGGGTTCTTGGGCATAGAAAAGGTCATTTTGACATTGAAAGAAAGAAGCAAGTGATCAGAAATTAGCAGTTCATCAGCTTTGCAGTTGAAAGGAGTAAGTCCAGAGCAACAAACTAGGTCCAACGTATGGCCCTTAGTATGAGTAGGAAAGTTTATAAGTTGTTTAAAGCCAAAACTATTGAGGCAGGATGAAAAGTCTTTGGTGAGAGGATGATCACTGTTGTCCATATGAATATTATTGTGTTCCAGGAGTATTATATTAGGGGAAACAGTAGCCATGTGAGTCAGCCAATCAGCAAAGTCACTTATAAAGACGGAATTAGACTTTGGAGGGCGGTAAATAACAGCAATAACTGCTGGAACAGGTCCTGAAAGCTGACAAACAACGGATTCAAAGGAACTGTAGACAGGTACAGACAACGACAAGACTTTCCAGTTCTCGCGATAGATTACCGTGATACCTCCACCACGGCCGGACTCACGAGGTTGGCAGGTGTAAACAAACCCAGGAGGAGTGGAGTTGTTGAGCTGCAAAAAGTCACTGGGCTGTTGCCACATCTCAGTCAAACAGAAAAAGTCAAACTTATGGTCTGTGAGGAGATTCTGGATGAAATGTCCCTTTTTCGTAAGCGAGCGGATGTTGACATTTCTTAACAATGTTCTCCACATAACCCTGTTGCTTTACCACACTTCTGCCCATCCATGAATACAGTTAGGTCTATTATTTGTTGGGCAAAGATCATTTTAATAATATTGCCTTTCTAAACCACTGCAGATGAAGCAAACAGTCAATACGTGATTAATGTTCAGACAGTTTTCATTCAAGGAGTTTTACAGAAGTACTGCATTAACTTTTTAGGAGTCACAGCCATTTACATACATTTCAAAAAGGTTCAAAAATGTAGATAATGGGCTCACAGGTAGTTTCATCAGCCCCCATCTACAGTTGGAGATATGTAAGTAAAACTAAATTGAACTGAATGCCCTCCACCCCGGTCCCCCACAGACAGAGCAGAAGGACCCATTTCAACCCAGAGGTCCAGATGCAGGGGACAGTACTGAGCCCACCAGGAGGACAGCATAGCTCCATCCAGCACAGGGCAAACCAGCACAGTTGATGGACATTTTTAACAGCTCACTAAATCAATTGCCACTATTATTCCAGTGCAAAATGTAAGTCTAAATCTAAAGTGCATGATGGTATAATTATTTCTGTGATTAAGAAAAGCAGCTTTGCACCATCTAACTCAAGAACCCTTGAAAAGATACATTTTCAAGGTCTGAAAGTCCTCTCTCAAGGCCTGATGAAACCAAGATGAACTTAACAAATTGAGAGGAACATAAAAGTACGGGCATGGAGAGAACTACTTCATGATCTTTAACATACTGGATTACCCATGACTGCCGCTAGTATTAACTGATTCAATTCAGCTTTATTTACAAAGTCATATTATAAAGGAAAGACTACAATGATAAAGAGAAAAACCCAACAATCAAACAACCGCCTTTGTGCAAGTAGTTTAGAACCTGCTCAGGTTCAGATTCAAAACTGATTGGACAGCACTTCACAGTGCTAATAAATAATGACCAACACTGTATTGCAAGCCCAAGGATATATTTAGGATATGGGATATTATTCAGTGTCAAGTCTGTCGCATCATCTCAACCCAGTAGAATACACAGCTTGCAGGATGAAAGGCAGCATGTCTGAGGCCAAGAGCCTGATAGGTGATATTACACAAACTAAAAACTTGTCATACATTGAATATGTCATACATGTAATACTAATGTCAGATTATTAAACAACTTCTTACATAGTTATAGTTGTAACTAGGTAAGGGTTAGTGTAAGTCTGTTGTGACTGTGGAGAAGAATGACTAGTGAAGTTGCTTTACTGTGGCTTTGGTAGGTATTAATGCTGGCTGTTGTTAATTAGTGGACTTACATAAGAGTGGATCCATGTATTTGGCTCTAATCTCTGACTTCAGCTATTCTTAGATGTGTCCAGCTGACTTTTCATTTGACCCACAATGTTATAAAAGAAGTTGTAAAAGTGAAGTTATAAAACGTATGGTTAAAAGTAGTGTCAGTTCTGTAACATGCAGTTAAAATGTATTGTTTAGATTTCTTTTGTTTGTGTACAATTATAAAAACGTTATGGAATAATGATAATGAGTGTCTATTAATATAAAGTGTATTAGATTGGATCTTCTTTATACATTTTATAACTGCCCTAATTACATTCAGTTTCTAGATCACTAAAATGCGAATTACCTTGACCATTGATCAAGGCCATGAGTACCATTCACAGAAGGTTGGGGAATGGCTGCAATCACAGCATTGTAAGATGTTGAAAGATGACTCCCGCTTCCATTCAGAGATTGAGAGATGGTCTTTCCCTTTTCATCTGTCCCCGCGCAAACCAGCTTCCCTCCCTGTCCGGGATGTGTACATCCTCATCGTTGTAAGAGTACACTGTAGGTGTAGATGGACTGTAGAGTCCTGGCCTGACGAGTTGTCTCTTTTGTGTCGTTGGCACTAACAACCATGCTACATTAAAAGTGACTTAAATGCCCTTTTTTAACTATTCTGGTGCTCAATTTCAGCTTTAGTTTGTCATCTTGATTATACCTAAAAACATAAATGCACTGAGTTGTTGGCATGCGATTGGCTGATTAGATAAGCACTTTGAGTTCTCAGGTGGGATAGAAAAGCACTATCCTAGGAACTTGTCCATTTAACATACTGTATATGTGTTAATAAGCAGTTGAACAGATGTATCTAATAAAGTGGCTGTAGTATGAGTATATATAAAAGGCAAATAACCATATTTGTTTTTTTATTAATTTAATATACTTTGAAAAATATAAATCTTGAAAGTAAGTCTTTGTAGGTGGCATAGATGTCCATCTGATCACATAACTTGTCAATCAAATGTCTTGTATTAAACAAAAACAAAGACTCATGTACTTTTAGACCCATTTATAAAAGTAAATATTCTATTGAAATTATTAATAGTATCTTTAGTTATTTGTCTAAAAGTGGGGAGTAGTTTATATATTTATGTATCATACCTGTTCTGTGCAAAGCCTGAAGCCACTTTTTATTAGTGAGAAACTAGGACAAACAAGATAGCGCTAGAAAACACAAAACTTAATGATAACTAATAAAGAGAACAAATGCAAAACCAGAATATGAAAATCTGTTAATTCCAATTTAATCCATGTAGATACATTTGAGGTCAATTCAATAGTCAATCATCATTTTCTGTCGCTTTTCTGTCGCATCCTCACCCTCCCTGACACACACACGCACACACACAGAGCAGCTTACATTTGCTCAGTAAATATTAAACCTTTTGATGTGATATTCTTGAGTTTAGACATTTAAAAAACATGATTGAGGTCTTGAAGTGATTCAGAGTATGTGAGCTTTGTTATTTATTCTGAATTCTTCTGACCATAAATCTGCTTTTCTTATATTAGTCATTTTGTTTCTAATGTTTATTTAATAGATACTCAAAATGTTTTACACGCATTTTAATTTGTCCTAAAACATTCCGTATTATCCTTCTCCTTGATTTTTCGGCTGAGCATGTACGTCATCATGCTTTGCTGGCATTTTTCATATTTAGCAATGCACTGTTTGCGTTTTTCCCATGAAATGCAGATTAAATGTGACACTTCTGCATCTTTGTGTGATTCAGCTTTCAACAGTTCTGCAATTCTAATGGACCTGAAGGTCAATATTCGGCATCAACACTATTGTTCGTCAGCACATCTGAAATCTCTTAGGCAAGCTTTCTTGAAATTTCTTTTAATAGTTTTCAAATTTTCAGCTAATTACTCTTGAGGATGTGTAGGTGTAGACACAACACTGGCTGTTATATGTTAGTCTGGCTCCTTAAAAACAACATATGAAGAAACGAGGGTTTATTCATACATTTTTCATAGTACTGTATTGTATCTAGTTTTCCATACTGTTTATAATTTGTATGTGAGCATTAAATCTGTAGTTGTGAAAATCATTGGGCTAAATTGTAAGAACCAACCAGCATTTAGTTTCATTACTTATTGGTTAACAAAAGCTTGACTGACTGACTGACTTTTGTCATTCCTTCTATACACCAACACTGTACATTACAACAAAAATACCTGCCCGGCTCTGAATACAGCAGGAAAGGTACAAGCTGCAGAATCAAGCAAACAGATATGCACATAGAAAGTGTTAAGGATAGGAGAGGGTGGGTGAGCTCTCCTCAACCACTGCAAAGAAGTGCAGGCGATGCAGAACTCTCTTAGAACTCTCTATATAGCTCTGATCTGCATCACTGAGTGTCTGTTTTCTGTACTTCCAGGAACTTGGTGCTACAGACCATTTCCACTGTTGCACTATTGTTTCGAAGTGGTGTGTGCTGGCTTTACATATTAATGTAAATGTATATGTTTAAATGCCCTTAAAGACATTTAGCATTAAGCTATTCTTATTGAAACTAGCACATTTTAATGTCTACAGTGAGTTAATGCCATCTGCTAAGATGTAGAAATTATGTATAAAGTTTTTTTGTTTTGTTTTTTGACAGTGACTACAAAAGGTATTGGGGGTTTTTTTTCCAGGACTTTAAAGCTGCTTAGATACTTCTCTCAATCCACATGGTGTTCCAGTCCTCATAGTTGATTACTCTGTTTACCAGTTACCCACCATAACACTATTTTCTTTCGACATTTTGTGTAGCTCCTGTTTAAGTATGATTTGGTGAAGTATGACATTGTGAAAGATGAACCAGTGAAAGATCAGTATGGTTTCTGCCGGCGAGTGGACAAGGGTAAGGTGGCAATACAAATTCATTTCTTATTCTTCCCTTTTAGACTTGAATGTTTTGAACAAGTATTTGTATTGATTTTGAACTTCTGTTATTCTCAGGTGAGATGGGGCTTTTACTTTCCAAGGTCAGCGCTATTAGCCCATTCTTTGGCTACGCTGGAAGCAAGGAACTGACTGAAAAGAAGCTGATGAGAAATGTGTTTGTCAAGGGTGATGCCTACTTTAACACAGGCGATCTCATGGCGGAAGACCATGAGGGCTTCATTTTCTTTAGAGACCGAGTCGGAGACACATTCAGGTACTTAGATAAGATGTTTAAGATGTTCTTAGATTTGATTTAGATTTGATTTGCATACATTTTCTATATAGACTTCTATGTAGCCTCTGGTAAAAGACCTGAGCTTGAAGGATCAAGACCATATGCTCTTGATCCTTCAAGCTCGTGTCCTTCGAGCTCGGGTCTTCTACCAGAGGCCTGGGAGCTTGAGGGTCCTGTACAGTATCTTTGTTGCTTCTACGACTACGCTCTTCTGGACAGAGATCTTGGATGTTGGTCCTGGGATCTGTTGAAGCCACTTGCCCAGCTTGGGGGTCACTGCCATAAGTGCTCTGATTGCCACAGTGGCCTTCACGCTCCACCTCTTCTTGAGTTTCTCTCTCAGCCCTTGACACTTCTTGAGCCTCTCGAAAGTGTAGCTAGCTTGTGTCTGTGAAGGTTCTCAGTCATCCAGGTCATCGTAGTCAAAGGAGCTTGCAAAGAAAAGCGTCTGGACTTCTTTAAGTTGTAGCTAGCTTATTACTCTGTATAGCTACATCTATCACTACAGCCATCTTCCTCCACCGTTTCAATGTTGGTTAGTCATCATCAGTTTGTCTGTCTGGAATCTGTCTGGAAGTCCCACAGGATCTTAGCTCAGTCATTCTGAATGGGGGCATGTCCCATTTAGCCTTGGGTCTTACTAGGCGCAGATGTTCCTGTGTATTATGCAAGCCACCTGGTAATGGCATTCCATGTATGCCCTGTCTGCTAGCATCTTGCACCCTGCTGTTAGGTGCTAGATTGTGGCATCAGTGGCATCTTTGCACAGCTTGCAACTGCAGTCTTCCCGGGTGTGGTAGACCCCAGCCTCTATGGATCTTGTGCTCAGAGCTTGTTCCTGTGCTGCCATGATTAGTGTCTTTCAGTCCAGCTTTGTCCAGCCACTGGTAGGATTTCTGGATGTCAGCCACTTGGTCTATCTGATGATGGTATATCCTCGAACAGGACAGTTAGGCCTTCAGTTAGCCAGGTGCTCAGTGACAGCAGTCAGCTTTTTCAGTTAGGAGGCGTGAATCATGTCAGGGCCTGGTGCTGTGCAATTCTCTATGCCTGAGACGCATTCTTTCATTTCTGCCATTGTGATGGTTATAGGATCCTGTTCAGGGAGGTTGCTGTGGTCTGCTCTTAGCTCCAACAGCCACTGAGCATTGCTATTAAGTGTTGTGCCCTTTGTGCCCTTGATCTTCTAGTCTCCTTCTCCAGGATGGGTGCTAGTCCTTTTTGCTGTTCATTTTATAGGTACCCATCTCAGTGATCACTGCTGCCATAATGTAGATCAGCTGCTGGTTTCAGTGATGGTCGCAGCAGGGACTGTTGGATGCTGCATGCACATCTTCTAGTAGACCTTCAAAGGGTACTTCACATAGTTCTGGTATTTGGCCACTAGGGGTTCAGTTTTCCAGCTTAGCCATGATCCTGTTGCTCAGGTCAGCTGTTCTCGCACTCAGTGCCTTCAACATACCAGGTGTACTTTTGGGCTTGGTGCCCAATCTTGAGTACTACAGCCAAAACAAATGTCCTGGCTCCCTCTTCTCATAGCATTTGTGTCGTACCTCATCATTGTCCAGTTGTGATACCAGTTGCTTCTGAACGTTGGAACACTGAGCTACCAGTTTTTTTGCCATCAGTCCAGATGTTGGGTATTGAGGATTCCATAGGTCCCACATCCTCTTCATGTAACCACTTTTGCTGGGGTTACTTGCATAGTAGCGTTCCAACAGCTTAGAAAAAAGTGCTTGTGTAAATTAGTGAATGAGGTAAGTTGTGTAAAAAGCTTTGAGTGCTTAGAGTAGATAAGAGCTATATAAGAAGTCCATTTAACAGGCCCTGTTCTCATCCCTTGCTCACTTGTACCTGCTTTTTCCAGTAGCCCACTACTTATCTGTGTGTCCTGGTTCCTCAATTTGTGACGCGGACCTTATCAATCCAGGTGACGTCTGAGCCACTATGGCTTCAGTTATCTCTCTCTCTTGCTTCTATCGTGAGGTAGGCTTGGTTTTCTTGTTCACTCGTGAACTTGAACTCCTCTGCTTGGGGCAGTAACTTGTCATTGGCCAGTGTGGTCGGTCCACTTCTTTTCTGGTTAAGACTTGAAGGCAAGCTGTAGGTCTTTTGATGAAGCCACGAGAACCACATTATGAGAAAAAAGCAGATGTGAGATCTTGAGAACAACAGAGTGTAAATCATCCACTATTTGGCTACCTTTAGCTTGAACAGAATCAGTGACAAGGCCCTGGCAACTCCTACGAAGCAAGGAAAAACAAGAGATCCGTTTACGCTTGGGGAAGACTTACCAAAGGCCCTCATTGAATAAGGATTAAACAAAAAATCAAAAAATTAAAAAATTAAAAAGGACAGATGCCAGCAGTAACACAGGTTGTTACCATACCAGTGTAAAGCCTGGTCTGACACAGACTATGCTTCTACCAATTAATTTTTTCCCCCCCAATTTCAGGTGGAAGGGTGAAAATGTAGCCACGACAGAGGTGACAGAGATTCTTGGGCTGGTAGATTTTATCCAAGAAGTCAACGTGTATGGAGTGCAAGTACCAGGTATCATGTCGGCATGCTTAATTAGTAATGCAGTTACTAAGACTGTGAGAACTTGCAGTATAGATGGTTTTTTTTTTTTTTTTAAATTATCCACAATATCTACTTCGCTAAGTGCTACATTTTTGCTGTCCTTAGCCAATTAAACACAAGCAGGATGTCCATGTGGCATCAGTGAAAAACAGTATCCCTTAACATTGATCCATGTTGTTCACAGGACACGAGGGCAGAGGAGGAATGGCATCAATCATTGTAAGACCGGGCTTCATATTTGATGGAAAGAAGCTGTTTGAGCATGTAGTGAGGGATCTACCAGGATACGCTCGTCCACTTTTCATAAGGCTTCAGGTAAAATATGTTACTAAAATCTGTTTAAACATCGTGCTACTCTGAAGTAACTCAGATTGTTTTTTCCTCTCAGGAGGTCATGGAAACGACAAGTACCTTCAAACAGCAAAAGTTCCATCTGGTGCAGAGTGGTTTCAACCCCTCAAAAGTCAGTGATCCTCTCTATGTGTTGGACTACAAGCAAAAGAGCTACATTCCTCTGACAGACACAATCTACCAGAGCATCAGTGCTGGAGAGCACAAGCTATAGAACTGACAAGTATGAGTGTGACTATACAGTTTTAAATGCACAAGAGTTTGAAAATGTTTAATGAATATTTTTAAAGAAAACATCTGACACATTATATGAACCTGAATGTGTTACTATGTCACAGCAATCCAATGACTAAGCCTAATAAAATACTTAAAATGGAAAACTAGAAAAGATCTTCAGATCTTTTGGATTTGATGACACTGTAGATATTAGTAGTAATAATAAATGCAATTTTGGAAGAATTCAGACAATAAATTATACCTTTTTACATCATTCATCATGTGTGCAATTCTGGTCAGATTTTTCCCAATGACATGCACCCTCTTTTCCATGGAACTCCTCAACCGAATTTTCTGTCAGAAAATGTAGAAAATGACTACTGTCATTGTTTTGGAAGCACATTTTTTGATGGATAGGATTTTTAAGCTCACTGACAAATATACTAGATTTCCTCAGCTCTTGTTTTGCCAGTTGATGTTAACGCCATAACTGCATTAACTCTGCAAACCTCCGTTAACGAGTTACCGCGGATGGCCCCGTGCATGGGGCTGGACAGCGTCAACGTGTTAACGTGTTAACCGCGCTAACGCGTTGACGCTGTGCAGCCTCGTCCTATTGCAGTAATCCAGAATATTCCAGAATCAACACAATGAAGTTACCTGTCTCTCTATGTCTATGCCCATACACATTTCTTCTGCATTTCTGTATAGATTAAATATCAACCTGTAGATGCCCCTGGTCATGGCCTGAACATGAACAGTCAATTTATGTTTTTCTTACCAGGGCTGCAGTTCATGTGCGAAAAGAAATGCTTAATTATAGTGAGTTAATAACACTCTACAAGCTGGTGCAGCATTGTTGTTGGTCTTCAATCTCATTAGACAACAGTGTAGCAGTGATAACCTGAGCCTGTCACTCCCTTACCTCAGCAAAGTGATTGCATAAACAAGCAAATAAGCTCTTTCACATTTTCTTTTTGTGATGCAGTTCATGCCATAGCCACTGGATGTCAGCACATTGCATGACTCACAGAAAGACCTTCATGGAAGCTGGTCCACTCTAAGAGAGTTAGCAGCTCTCTAAACTAGATAATGCAACAATTTAATATGGTTTATTGTAACTTCTGGGTAATAGTTTGAATATTTGTGGCAGGCATGAGATAAGGGCTCAGTTGAACTGGGCAGAGTGGAGAGAGTGTGGGCCCAAATACAAATGGTGACAGACTTAAAATGAAAGTGAGCCTTTGTTACGGCCAAGCAAAATACAAACAAACGCAAAGAACAGAATGACTAAACTAGAAAAACCTAAACTGGAAAAAGCTTTAAAACACGATATCAGAAAAAACTGTCACATGATATCAAACAGAAGCTGTCAATTCAGCTCTTCAGTGTGGGCAATCATAATGAAGCAGTTCATTCTAAGTTGTAGATTCGAGCTGCGCTTCATATTTTTGGCCACCAGATGTCACGAAAGGTGACTGTGTTGAAAAGCTTTGCGTAATGAAC